CGAACCATTCAAATATCTAAATATTTAAAAAATCTTATTGTTTTCCAGCATTTTATTAAGCGCTGCATCGTATAAAGAGCCTCAAGAGAAAGTGTCCCATATATATGATTCCATTTTGTCTTCTTGGAGAGCAAACTTAAGTATAAAACCCCATACGTTTTAAGCCTAGATAGGTGAGTAATTCAATTGGAATTTCAACTAAACAATATCAACTAACTCTTCTTTAAAACCCCCTCTCAGGACCTTACTTTAAGCTCAAACGAAGGCAGACAGCATGTGGAATTCCGAACCAACACATCGCCAGCACCACCATCAGCACCAGCACAATGGCAATTCTACCTCGGGCGGACCGCCCGCCAAGCAGCTGGGCATGACCTCGGCCATCAGCCTGGCCGAGCCGCGTCCGGAGGACCTGCAGCGAACCGAGGAACTGCGCGGCTCCCTGGAGCCGTACAACGTCTTCGAGAGCCAGGACGAGCTGAACCACCGCATGGAGATCCTGGCCAAGCTCAACACACTGGTCAAGCAGTGGGTCAAGGAGATCTCCGTCAGCAAGAACATGCCAGAGTCGGCCGCCGAGAAGCTTGGCGGCAAGATCTACACATTCGGCTCGTACCGACTGGGTGTCCATCACAAGGGCGCCGATATTGACGCCCTCTGCGTGGCTCCGCGCAACATCGAGCGCACCGACTACTTTCAGAGCTTCTTCGAGGTACTCAAGAAGCAGCCGGAGGTCACCGAGTGCCGCTCCGTGGAGGAGGCCTTTGTGCCGGTCATAAAAATGAACTTTGATGGCATCGAGATCGATTTGCTGTTCGCACGTCTGTCCCTGAAAGAAATACCCGATGACTTTGATCTGCGGGATGATAACTTGTTGCGGAACTTGGACCACCGCTCGGTGCGCAGCCTCAACGGCTGCCGCGTTACGGATGAAATTTTGGCTCTGGTGCCCAACATTGAAAATTTCCGTCTTGCCCTGCGCACCATTAAACTGTGGGCAAAGAGTAAGTGTTAAAGGATTGAATTTTTTGTAAGAAATTATGACTAATTTTCCTTTTTTTCTCTTTAGAGCACGGCATCTACTCAAATTCCTTGGGTTATTTCGGCGGTGTGACCTGGGCCATGCTGGTGGCGAGGACCTGTCAGCTGTATCCGAATGCTGCAGCTGCCACACTGGTGCATAAGTTTTTCTTGGTCTTTTCGCGCTGGAAGTGGCCCAACCCAGTGCTGCTCAAGCATCCCGACAACGTTAATCTCAGATTTCAAGTAAGTTACATAGAATTATCCAAGTTTTCCTTCCTAACTAATTTTTTTCCCCTTTTCTAGGTCTGGGATCCGCGTGTCAATGCCTCGGATCGCTATCATCTGATGCCCATTATTACGCCCGCGTACCCACAACAGAATTCCACATTCAATGTGTCCGAATCCACCAAGAAGGTCATATTGACCGAGTTTAATCGCGGCATGAACATCACGGATGAGATCATGCTCGGCCGCATTCCGTGGGAGCGTTTGTTTGAGGCGCCCAGCTTCTTCTACAGATATCGCCACTTTATCGTGTTGTTGGTCAACTCGCAGACGGCCGACGACCATCTGGAGTGGTGCGGCCTGGTGGAGTCAAAGGTGCGTCTGCTGATTGGCAACCTGGAGCGGAATCCACACATTGCTCTGGCCCACGTCAATCCCAAATGCTTTGAGTTTAAGAAGGGCCAAAGTGCCAACAGCTCGCAGAACAACAGTGGAAATGAAGACGATCTAAAGCAGTCTCAGGGCAGCCAGTCTGCGGTGACATCGGCACCCTTCTGCTCCATGTGGTTTATCGGCTTGGAGTTTGAACGTTCGGAGAACCTTAACGTGGACCTCACCGAGAGCATACAGAACTTTACGGAGCACGTTATGATGCATGGTGTAAGTATACAAATGAAGCCCGAAAGTTTATCCAGTAACTTATTAATTTATTGCATTTGCAGGTGAACATAAAAATGCTCAAGGAGGGCATGACCATTGATGCTCGTCATGTAAAGCGCAAGCAGTTGTCGCTCTATTTAGACTCTGACTTCCTCAAGCGCGAGCGCAAGTCCATGGAAAGCCACAACAATTTTAACAATGCGCTGCTGGCCAACCGCAAGCGCCTCTCCACGGAACTGGCACAATCGCAAGACCCACTGCCGCCTGGTCAGCAGCAGTCGAGTGGAAATCGTGGACGGGAGAGCGGAGCCAAGATACACAGGCTCAGCGAATCGGTAAGTGCCTATAACTATTTCAGTTTGAATGCATAAAATAATAAGAAACTTTTTTTGTTTAGCTGACAGAGGATAACTCGAATGCCTCCAGCGATATGGGAGCAGGAACGCCAACTACGCCCACGGCGGCGCAAATGAGTGCGCCTAATTTCAAGAGCTCGGGAAAAAACGGCTCCGAGATGGACGTTGTAGAGCAGGAGCCGCCGCAGCCGCACAACAACGGTAGCAACAATGGCAGCGCCAACAGCAACACAACCACAACGGAGGTGGCATGTTCGTGACAACCGCCAACGCTACATCCACATCCGCCGCATCAGCAGCCACCGCCCCCGCCGCCACAGCCACCGGCTCATCATCATCATCATCAGAAGTTCCGGAAGAACAACAACGCGGCTGCGGCGGCTGCGTCCAATAGCATCTTCAACCAGCGCTCGATTCTGCATGCAGCTTCCAGTCTATCGGCTGCTCTAAGCATAACCGGACACAAGCGCAAGCAGCAGACGGCCACATCAACAACCACGATCAGCAGCATTGCTCATAGCAACTACAACCACCATAGCAACAACAACAACAATAACGGCGGTGGCAGCGGCCACTACAACAAAACGTACTACATTGATGATGATGATGAGGACAACAACCAACAACATTTGACACCTAACAATCAACCACAGCAACAACAAAAAGCGGTCAGAGTAGCAGCAGCATCGACGACACCAGCAACATCGGTCCCTGTCGCTGCAAATGCCGCATTACCGGCACCGACAATTTCTTGTAAGTTGCCTAAATGTTTTTCCTCGTTCTCGTACTCTCATCCATTTTCTCCAACTTCCTTTGACACGAGACTGTTTCTTTACTCTTAAGTTGCCTATCTACTTACTATTACGTATCCTATAACCAGTATTTCCGCCAATGCGGAAACAATCTAACAAAAACGTACTTTTAATTTTTAAAATTTTTTAAATTCAATTTACAAAGCCCGAGACTAAGCTCAATAAATGATGATGAAAATAAACTTTTAAAAAAAGAAAAAAAAACTAAACATTTTTGGTATTTTTATTTTCTAAATTATTTACAGTGAAATTTGTTTTGGGCAAATGTTTATAGGTTTATTGGACTGCAAGGAAAATGTCCTTTAGCCTTGTTTGGTGCGATAACCAAGAGGCAATTCGATAAATAAATACAAATAAATACTTTCACTCTTATCTTATTTTTATTTTGGCCCAAATAAAAATTTAAACTGTTCTTGGTTGTAGCTATTATTTTTGGAATTTTCTTTTTAGTAAATAATTAAAATTTAAATCTATAGTAATAAACGGGGAAAAGGACAAGTTAAAAATATCGTTTCGAAAACAAAAGGTTAAAAAATTTGATTTTAACTTGTCTTTTCCCCCATTTATTCCTATAGATTTAAATGTAAACTATTTCCTAACTCAAAGAGGCAACGAAACAAAAATTTCTATATTAAAATTTCGTAGGCTTTTTGATCAAAGTGAGTACTAGGCTTTATAAAAAAACACTCTTTAAATGCTGAGAATTGAAAAATTAAAACTCGAAGTCAAAGATTTATATTTAGATAGAAATTAGCTATTTCTGTGTATCTAAATATTCATTTGTTATCCATACTTCTTCGTTTATTATATTTTTTAAATATATCTACTTTGGGGGAGACCTAATTGTTTTAATATAATAGTTTTTCAGAAATATACATAGAAAAATGCAAATTGTATTATCCTTTTGTTTCTTACGCTGATCATTTTAGTCTACTTATATGTAAAAAAGTAAATATACATGTTACTAACCATGTTTAACCCTTTTTAATATCTTTGCAGTGTAAAAAGCTATTAAACATACCATTTAAGGATTAGTTTTCATAGTTATTCTCTCCGCAATGATTTTCTCGGCATTGATGCCCAAACAAATATGAAGCCCACAATATTTTATACAAAACGGTGAGTTGAACGCTGAACTTTTGGCTACGGAAATATCTAACTTGGTTATGTATTTTTTTCAGGTTTCTATCATACACCTTCTACAAAGTTATGTTAAACATTATTCTTTCAACAACTTAACATCGCCCAATCGTCAAACTAAAATTGGCATTCGAAGATCAACAATCGCCGCTTTGATAAAAAAACATCAAAGACTTGGGCGACCTATTAGCGGAAGAGAAAGCATTTCTCTAAAATTTGTCTTAATAATATTGTTGTACATCTTTTTTACTTCCCCACAGCTGGTTTGAGGAGTGCGTAGAAGAGAGAAGTGTGGAGAGGATGAGGAAGAAGATGGATAGATGGATGGGTGAGAGCGGCGGACAGACAAGATCCTGGAGAAAATCTGCTGCAAAACTACTTACAAATTAAGAAGATTTCTTTATAATTTTTCATCTTGTTTTCAATATTTGTTTTCTTCTTCTTCTAGTTGTACAACGCTGAAAATTTGAAACAATTATGTTCGTTTTTCTAAGAAATGATATCTGAAAAAAGGTAATAACAAAAACATATAAATGAAATGAAGATATTGATTTAATTTTACCAAATAAACCAGAAAAAAGAAAGCGAAAGCTAAAAACACCAAAGTCTCCATGTTTTATTTAAATGTACTGGATATCGGGAACGGACACCAAAACATACAGTAAACTAAGTTAATAAAGGTTTAAAAGGAAAACCAAACTGTTGATCAAAATCGACTGATGATTTTAACCTGCTGCAAGGACATTTTTTGCTTAAAGTGTATGAATTTAATACAAAATATAACTTCATCTCAGCAACCAGAAATGCACGGTTAACTTTATTAGTGTAACTCGAATTTTTACAGCATACGCCTTAAAAAAGTATTAAATTGGTTGAATTTACATTTTGAAGAAGGGACAGATATATATGACATATCAATCCTTGTGTTTTTCCAAAAATGTTCAGGATTTCACATGAAATATATTGCATTTTTTATTTTTTAATTTAAACAATGGGTACGTCCAAGAGATAGAGTATCATTTGCTTACTAGTTTGTTGCAAGTTGGTGTCGTGGATACTTGGGGACAAAATACTCCATGCGCTGGTTGCGACGTATGGCGCACTCCTGATACTGCAACCAGTCGCTATATGACTCCTTATGGCACTGCTCCGAATCGGCCTTTTCGTACAATTCCTGACGCAGAGAGAAAAAGAAGGGGCGGACTTTCTTCTTCCTGCTGTAAACATAGCGCATCAGCCACTTATCGATCTTAATATCGTTGTAGACGGTCGATCTGTTCAAGCAGACTGTAGTCAGGTTCTCCATACTGGGATAGTAGTTCTGAATTGGATTCGGATTAACAGATATGCGTGCTATCTGCTGATTTCCTGGGCCGAAGCGGGTGTCCAAAAACTGGTGTCCAAAGGTTATCCCCCAAGGATTGTATACCTTTTCCCCATATTGATTAGTATAGAATTGTTGAATACCAACAGTCAGCTCCTTGGCTGTTTCATTTTTGGCTGCATCAGCTGATCCTTCTCCTGGTTCTCCCCCTCCGTCTCCTGATCCCTCTTCTTCTGCACCTTCTCCAGGCGCTCCTTCTTCTTGTTTGTCTTGTGGAGCAGCATAGAGTCTTATACCATTTTTGGAGCTTTTTCTAAGACCAATAGTGGTTCGTTTAGTCACAATAGTGGTCGGCGGCGCATGAGTTCCATTGTAGCCAGTTCTCTGGTGATATTTGTCTTGTAGTTTCTTTGCGAAAACTCTAAAGCCGTCGGATTTATGCGGTATTGGGGTATTGAAAACATCGAAAGTGGACTGATTTGGTTTGATCTGCCTCGGAGCTCTCTCCGCCGGAAGATCCTCCGCCATGGCGATCGGAAGTGACTCCGGATCGGGTAGAGCCAGTGGCAAACCAACGAGTCCTTTCACCCATAAAATCTATTGGGAATATTATCGACATTCACAAATTGTTTGGTAAAGATTAAAGTTGCGTTAACCACTCACGATAATTGAAGTTATTGCTAGGAGAACACCTTGGAGAACTCCATAGCTGTAGCAATGCATCGTGTTCCGTGTGACCCTGCCTTTGGTCAGTATTCTTACTTTTGTGTTATTTCCTATACAGTGTGTTTGTACTATACGAATGTAGAAAAGTGTTTCCAATAAAGATTGGAAATTGACAGCAATACTAGAGAAACCTAGATTAGTAAATCATAACAGAAAAAAGAAAGGAGGCTAGCTTTGGCAAGCCGTTGTTTATATACCCCTGTAACTATCGAGAACTAAGTATCGAGTTATCAGAGTCTTTGTAATGTAGCAAAGAATATTATTAATATGTATTTCCAAATATTATGGTATAATTTGTTTTTTAAGAAATGCACTTATTTTACCACTGAATGAAGGATATGAATTAAGTATGTGTTCGAAGGTAACTATAATATGTTTTAGGCACATTGGACAGTTGCTTGGGACACCAAAAGTTAAATCTTGTAAATAAGTTTTCTGTTCTGTTTTTTAAGTGGTTTTAAGAATTTAGAAATGTCTGGTGTAAAAAAAGCATTTAAAATGCTAATTTTGTTTAATTTTCTGTTACAAAATCCTAGTTATTATAGATCGGATAATTAATGGTGCAAGAAACAAAACACTTTTAATAACACAGAGCTTCAACACTTTTATGCTATTTTTATGTTTTTTGACTCTGTTTTCTAGAATTTATTTCTCCCTTAAAAAAATCCTCAAATTATTCTAAGTAGTGGGTTTGAAAGATAAAGAGCGTATTTTTTAAAAAACTTTAACATCAAAACAAACTAAGAATCCGTTTGCCTCTAAGACCTCCGGAAAGATGGCCAATTTCAGCATTTTTCGAACTTTGAGGTCCTTGTGCTAAGAATCCTTGCGTCGGGGAACTTTTTGGAAAACGCAGCTTAACTTGGGAATTCTTAACAAATTCAAAAAAAAAGCATCCATCGAGGTAAATTTAAAAAGCATTAATTTTGTTGCACAGTGTTATCTGTTATCATAAAACCAAAGAAATAAAAACTCAATGTGATTTATATTTTAAAAGTTTTAAAGCTATCGCGATGAAACTTTCCCGAAAGTCTTCTTTCTATTGCAGGTAGTACATATGTCGGAGCGAGCCGGATCGGACCACTATATCTTAAGGCTTCCATAGGAATATTCAAACAAATATAAGAAAATTCATTGTAACTTTGTAGGAAGTAGGCGTTTTGATTCTTGACTACTTAAAAACAAAATTGAAATAGAAACGCTGAATCTGGAATCCCTGGAACTGCACCGAGTGAGCATTACTTTATCTGCAAGGGTATATAAGCTTCGGCTGGCCGAAGGTAGCTTCCTTTCTTGTTTTGTTATATTTTTTGGGTTATTGAATAGTATTTAACAATTAAAATAGTAGAAAACCTATTTAAGAAATTTGCATATATTTTGTTGTTTTATTCATTTGGCAAATTAATAGAAACGTCTCAATATCATAGCAAAACTATTTTATTTGTTTGCGTGTATTTTGTTGTTTTATTTTTTGGGGCATTAAATAGTAACACCACAATTAATATCGTAGCACAACTATTTTTTTCCTTCATATATTTTGTTGTTTTAAAAATACGATTATCCTATATACTAAAAATACGATTAACTATTTTTCTGGACTTAGGGTGGTTAGAGTATCCGACTCATAATATCTGGGTCGTGATTTCAAATCCCGCTTCTGCAGATGATGTTTTTTGTTTTTTTTTTGTTAAATGTTGATTTCAAGTCTATAGATTTTCCTCTACGAAAATCATTCTTCTGTGGCCTAGTGGTTAGAGTGCTCGACTCCGATGGTTGCGGCCCCGGTTCGATTCCCAGCGGAGGCAAAAAACCTGATTTGTAAGTTTAAGTATCTGTGAAATGTAAGTGTCTATAAATAACTTTCATACAAATTTATATAACAAATTAAATTAAAAATAAAAAAGGTTAAAAACATAAATTAAAAACAAGAGAGAACGCTATAGTCGGGTTGTTGTCCCGACTATCTAATACCCGTCACTCAGCTAAAGGGAGTGCGAACGCTGTGTCGGGTTGGTGTCCCGACTAATAATCGTAACTCAGCTAAAGGGAGTGCGAGGGAGATAGATATATAATTTTGGATTCCGTATAACTTTTTAATGAATGGTCCGATTTGAAAAATGTCTTTTACATTTCGATAGGTATAAATATACACAACAAAATTGCATTTATACTTCTCGGAAATCTTTAAAGATGTGGGCGCAGGACCCATTTTAAAATCGTTAGTGGGCGATTGTGGGCGTTAGAGGGGCGTGGCGCTCGGCTAAAATAAACTTGCGCTGCGTAGGAAGCCAAAGAATATGTGTGGGAAATCTCAACCTTCTAGCTTTTGTAGTTTCTGAGATCTCAGCGTTCATACAGACGGACAGACAGACAGACAGACAGACAGACAGACAGACAGACAGACAGACAGACAGACGGACAGACGGACATGGCTAGATCGACTCGGCTAGTGACCCTGATCAAGAATATATATACTTTATGGGGTCGGAAACGCTTCCTTCTAGCTGTTACATACTTTTGCACGAATCTAGTATACCCTTTTACTCTACGAGTAACGGGTATAAAAACAACAATTTTTTTCGGGTTGAATACTATTTTGTAGGTAATATACTATTTTATAGGTAATCTACTATTTTTTGAGGCATTTTGTATTTTTTATGGGTTGGGACAGTTTTCACTATTAAATAGTTGATTTTACATAGTTTTTTTTTGTGTGTACTACATGTATCCACATTTTCTGCGACTCTCATAATGGTTAAGGCAAAAAAATCGAAAAAAAAATTTTTTTTAGTAAAAACCATAAATTATGTACCAATAATTCAACTTTAATTTTTAATTTAATACAAAAGGAAGTATTCATGCTTGTTGTGATATTTAAGAAATCTACATAATTGCCACCATTTAACAAGAAAAAGACAAAGTCCTCAACAAGAGTATCGTATAATTTGGTTAGCTAAAATTTCACAGGTGTGTTTTTCAAGAGCGATCCACAGCAAGGATGATGCTGCCCTACCGTAAGTACAGTCACCACAAGGACAATCTAAGGTAGTGAAAACTTCTTGACTGATCCTGCGTGATACCTTTATTTCGTGGGACGACACGGGGAACATACTTCGCACTAAGTACCAAAACTAACCCGACGACGGTGATCCTCGATTCCAAGTCCTTGTGGGCCTAACCTAATTGCAATTCTGCGAAAATTATGCGCGACACAGCTGCGCGTTTTTCCCAGAAACCCAGTAGCATTAATCCGTTTATGGCCACGGATTAAGTTGCAAAATTTTCACGAAGGTCGCCGCGATCCGGGACGCGAATTCGCGGAACCACCCCGACCCTTGCAGGTAAAAACGCCCGCCACCCACAGGTAAGGGATTACAGCCCATGAAAATGGGTATAAAAGATCCGGCCGCCGGCAGTAAGATCATCAGTTACCAACGCATCCTCAGAGTGTAAGGATCCAGCAGTGAAATAAAGTAAATCAGTTCGGAACAGTAATTATACGACAAACCTTGTTCGGTTTTGCCAATTTCCTAGCAGCACTGGGTAAAGTTTGTCCTATAATCTCAAAAAGACGACCAGCTTATTGTGAACCAAGCAAAGGTCTCGATCTTGGGATGCATCTTGTGCAGTTATGATTCTACATCTCATCACTGGGCAAAGTGTGTCTCAAGAGCCTGGCCACAAGCAACCAAAGAAATAATCTCAAAGTAAGTGATACCAGGCTCTCCAGTTTTAAAATTGAATGGCGAATGTCGGTATGGTCTCTTTTTCAAACTGATGGTAATCGAAGTGACTAGACCGAACACTCGTGCTATAATTTTAAAATATTCAACATGCTTAGTGAAGTTAAAGTTAAAGTTAATGTGAATGTAGGCAATCTAACTGGGTTGCAATTAGTTTCTTTGGTCGTCCAGCCTTAGGTGACTCTTCTGATCATAAAGCTAGACAACCATTGAAGTTCGTTGTGGCATTTGCAGCACTACAAGCCAGTGAATTAAGTTGAGTGATCCCAGCATAACTCGGGCCATTCGCTAAAAGGAACGATCGTTGTGATATGCGTTGTTCCGTTACATATCACAGTGATTTTCCTTTATAACGCATGTCTTAAGCCCAAAAACCATCAAGGGATATACTATTAACAAAGTGAAACATAGCCTTTAAAGTAGAGGGAATAGTTGCTGTGCTGTAAGTTACTAAACTATATCTATATCACAGTGGCTGTTCTTTTTGTACCTAAAGTGCCCAACACCAGTAGTTTTAGTTTATCTGACAAACACCCATTCCGTTTTTAACCCCAGGGAACTTCTGCTGCTGATATATTATTGAAAACTCCTATATCACAGTGGCTGTTCTTTTTGGTTGCACGGCCAATTCCAACGATTTGTCATCTGTGGCATGCATTTGTGTCAACTGAATGTGAAAACTGAAAATTGAAAATTGTTCAAAAAGAAGGGAACGGTTGCTGATGATGTAGTTCGAAACTCTCACAATTTATATCACAGTGGCTGTTCTTTTTTGTTTGGCAATCGATCTACGTTTGCTGGTTTTCCAGGACATGAAATAGAAAATATTCTCTTCCAAATGCCAAACTTCGAACTTTGCGGAAAAACTGATGAGAAGATGGTTTCAATGCAATTCATCATCTGTCTGAACTTTTGTCAATAAATAACGCTTACCTTACAATGAACTCCTTGCTTTTATTAAACAATTGATTTTGGGGGTGGTGCAGCAACAATAACTCGTTTCATTCCAATAGAATATTTGATAGCTCAATCAAGGTGCCTCAAGAACTAAAGTTTAAGAAATATATTGCCTTTCAATATGTTATGAAACTGGTTTCTAATTAATTTTTCAAGTCATTAGTTTAGTAGATAAATGTATTTTTTAACTCTGCAAAAATAACAGCAACTTGCGCCTGTTGATATCAATTTCCATTTAAACAATCTGTGAAAGCTGCCTTGTGCGTTTTAAATTGAAGTTGATATGTGGGCTTAAATCGTGTGCCAGGAAGTGTGATGGTAATGTGAGAGGACCACTTTTGAAACTTTCTCTGCTGCAACAGCCTGCTATTCGACCCTTTCCAGGTGAAAGAGCGCCTGACTCGCATTCGGAATTTCACGCGTGTACGGAATGACCAAAAGTTGGCCAAAACCCACTCTTAGCTCGAGGCGTGGCCAGTTTGCTGCTGGCCAAATGCAAAACAAGCAAACTGTGAAATCCCATTTTGCATTGACAGGGCCATGGCGTCCCCATGCCATAATGTTCGTAATGGCTGCCAATGGCCAGTAGCCATTGTTGCACTGTGCCCAAGGACGGTGCTGTCTATGCCACTGTTCCTGTTTCTGACTTTGGCTACTGGACACGTGTGGGTTGCTAAATCCTCCTGCTCGACCGGAAGTGGGGATACGCAGAAGGAAGAGGAAACCGAATGGCGGAAATGCGATTAAAATGCTCATATAGTCAATTCAAGCTTCCGCTTTGAGGAAAACAAAGAATATTGTTCTAGAAATTAAATTCCTAAACAAAGATAACGTTTTTCTAGTTATAAACACGGTTTTTTTTGTTCACAAAGCCGATGATGCTATATGAAGTTTGTAAAGTTATATAAAATATTCATTTCGAAAAAACAACCACTTGTTTTCAAACATCTTTAGATTTATTATAAGATTATATTAAAATAATTTTTTAAACTGAATTTTTATTAAATAAAAGAAGTTAAAAGAAAATAATATGTCAGAAATTTTAAAAGCCATTTCAATTTACTTTTCTATTTATTTTAAAAATTTTAAGATAAAATCCATTTTAAAGAAAGTTCCTCAATATTTTAAAAATGTGATAAAGATATCCAAAAGGGGAGCTGTGGTTTTCTTGCTGAAATTGCAGCAACTACTCTATCTTAGCATTGAGACAATACAGGTAATTTTCCACACGGATCTTTTGGCGCAACACCTTTCGTGATTCCCGCTCAATAGTGGCCGTGGTGCCATCGTGATTGTGGAAAAATCCGCAATAGCGGGCGGGCACAAACTGCTTAATCTTCTGTTGACGACTGTACCGTTCCGTAACCTGCAGGTTGCACTTCTTGATCGCTGCCACCTCGACGTGCATGCACTTTCGACACATGTCCGCATCGCTGCTAAAGTTGTGGAAGTAGTCACCCACCGGCTTCTCGCCGCACACCGAGCACTTGGCGTTGTTTTGGGGGCTGCAGAACACCGCCACCGCTGGCCAGATGATGCGCCTGCATCCAAATGCTGTCTCAACATCCCAATCCGGATATTTGAGGTGGTGCGTGTAGGTGGAGGGCCTGGAAAATAAGATAAAATATATCACTTTAAAATATTAATTATCGAAAATTATTTACCCGGGAGTAACCCATTTTTGCTCGCGCACAATCTGCTTGTTAAAAGTAAAGTAGTACTGGGTTCCTGGAAAGTCGGTAGTATAGGAACCAATAGGTGGATAGCCCATTTCTCGATAGGGCGGTAGGCGTGGCATTTTGTTTGCCAAGGCTGAAAATCCAGCTTTTGATGGGTACTGTAAAAAGATCATTAAAAAGTTTACAAAACAAAATTAAGTTAGATATTTGGCAGTTATTTAATTTTTGGGAATACGAAAACATTTTGATTAGTTGTATATTTATCAAGAAAAAATTCCCGTTTTTTTGGGAATTTCCTAGCGATAGCGACAAACAACTTTTTTTCGTACATAAAGATTGTTATAAAGATTATATAAAGCATTCGTATTTTCTTAGTGAGTGGTCCTTTTCTCATTCCTAAAATTACAGATGGGCTAGTTTGTGTACAATAGGTTGCCCTTTTAAACAAATTCCAATCACATTTTTATGAAATTATTATCGGAATTTGGTCGTTGCTGAATGTTTGAAATTATATCATTCCCAACCATCACTTTGCCTTATAAACTCCCCCTTTGCGGTGGACTCTGTTCTCTAGGGAACATACTCGTTTGAGTACGAGCTGGGTTTTGGGCGAAAGCTATAAAATCAATCAACCACCTACATCATGGGTCAGTCGGTTTCGGTTGTTCAGATGACAGGTTCTTTAGGCGAAAATGATTTTTCCATTGCTCGGAACCCTTTTGATTCTAATCATAATAAAATCAGAAGCAGAAATTCTCGAAAGTTACCACGATAATTCAGCGCGTACTTCAAACTATAGAAAACAAAATAATTCGCGCAAATGTGATGATGAAGTAAGGCTTTGTGTACGAATTTGTTGCCCCAGCAAGAATATGTTGTCCGATAATAAGTGTACTGATAATTCTAAACCAATGTTTGCCAATTATCAAATATATTTAAATTTGACCCTCGATGACGGATCGACGAAGCTGGCTCGATATTTTCTAAACGATAGCACTGTGATAAGGGAAAAGTTTCGAATTGGCGACGAGTTACTCAGCCTAAGGGAAGACGAGTATACAATATTCAAGGTTTGCCCATCGATTTGACATATGTTTCACTATCTAATTTAAACTTTTAAGAACGGAACCATACTTCTACAATACAATAACGTTACCATCGGAAACCACTATTATTGTTTCTATCCTTATCAACTAAGTGCGGACTTTCCAAAATTAATAAAGATTGTTCGCCATACTTTCCCAAAGATATCGAAGTCAAGGATCACTGATAGTAAGGCCGGTTCCTTTTCTACAGTATTAACCATTACATTTTTTAACATAATTTCTTCTTCTAGTACTTAAAATATTATCATTGGTATGCTACATTCTCACTATAGCAGTTTACCTCTACGTCACGAAGCTCCGTAATACCTTCGGCAAGTTAATTATATGTGGCCTTTTCAGTATTTTTATGCATAACCTTATTTGGCTACTGATTCCAATGATTTTATTGGATAATATTTGCTCTCTAGCAGGTTAGTAGTTAAAATGTAGTGGAGTAATTCAAAACCATACACTGAGTACAGTTTCACATTCCTAAATTTCGCATTTATGTTTGCTTTGAACAAAATGTTCTTAAGTACATCCAAATGTACTCAGATCAAGTTTTAAATTTCACTCTTAGTGAGCAATTATATTTTTAGATCGACTATAATTTCACTCTTAGTGAGCAATTATATTTTTAGATCGACTATAAAGTACAACATAACAAATTTATGTGAATTTTTTTTGGACAATTGTCTTCATTTTTTATTAAATAGTTTTAAGACTCTCTAACATTTTCAAGATCAATTACAGGTTATAGTTTCTACTTCTTTCACATGGCCTATAATCTCTGGAAATGTACCATTAGCCATTATATATGGAAAAAAATAAGGTCGATTAACAGTCATGATGGCCGTCACTGCTTCATGGCCTACAGCGGCTTAGTTTGGGGAATTACTTTAATCCCGACTGGAGTAATCTTTTTGATTAATCAATTTTGGGATAATGATCCCCGTACATTCAATGGGATGCCCTTAGTTGGATTTACCGGGTGCTGGGTGAGAAGTGGGTTTGAATCTTTGAAGCTATAGCTGACACAATACACAAATTCTAATCTTCTTTTTTAGTTGACATTTGGTCAGCCTGGATCTACTTCTATGGTCCGCTACTGATCTTGGGCATTTATAATATTAGTATGTTCATCCTGACGGTCATTTATATTTGGAAAGTAAAAAGCCAGGTAAAGAAGTTTAAGCAAACGGAGGAGAAAACGCCCACCTGCCTGGAATTCGACATTCAGACGTAAGCTCAATTTATATTAAAATTTGGGAACCAGTGGCGGATCTAGGATTTTGTAGTGTGGTGATTTCAAAACAATTTTTCTGTTGTGTATCACCCATATCACCCCCCGCGGATCCGCGCATGTTGGGAACGTAAACGGACATTCATAATTAGATACCCGATTACAGTTACATCAAATTTCTGCGACTCTCTACCGTAATGGGTCTTTCTTGGATCCTGAACATATTTTCCCACTTCGCACAGCTTCGAGGATTTTGCCATCCCGTCATGTTTGCCATCAAATGCTTCCACTCGGGTTTTGGTATTATCATTTTTGTGCTCCTTATTCTTAAGCGCACTACTTTTAGACTTCTTATAGAAAGGTAAGTCCTTTTCATATGATTGAACGATTTTCGAGTAATATTTATTTTTCCCCACCAGAATTCGAAATGGACAGTAAGAAACAAAGTGTCGATAGACAAACGACAGCCGGCAATGTCGATATCTTAAGCAAAAAATAAATTATTGGTATCTTTCAAATACAATTTGTTTCCAAAAAACTGTCACTGTGACAGAATTTCGATGACATGATTAAAAAGCCTTAACTTTTCAATAACATTCAAAGGGCCTTACCTTAAATCCAATTGGTTTAGCTACGTCGTACGCATTAGGGGCGACCGCCGGAAGTTTTTTGGTATAGCTATCCCGACAGAAAGTTCCGCTCGAGTCCCTGCGGATTTTCCTGAGGAAGCCGACCGTCGGCCAAACTGGAGGATTGACCACATACTCGAAACCTGCAAGAAGGACGTCCTGTCGGATTAGTGACACTTTAAACTCGAAGATGTCCACCTAGATCATTGCATCGGGCCACAACGAGTCTCGTTTCGGAGCGCTGGCGACGCAGTTTTTCGCGCTCCTGGGCATTTAGCCTTTGGGCACGCATCTTGGATGAAAGTCCGCGAAAGACTGGAGGTTGTACCGAAATTGGCGGACTGTCGAACCGTGACAGCCACGGCAGCACACGCATCGCAGCACGCACGGAGTGCTTAATGGATTTCGAGTATATAGAGTATATCCCCCCATCGATGATGATATAAAATCAATATGTCTAAACCGTCGACGGTTCGCCGCGGAATCAGTATACGCGATGTTTGATTTCATTTGGCACACGTCTAGACGACTTTCCTAGCTTCATATTTTTTCAATGTTTCTATTTCGCTATTCTATGTATTTCGCCGTTGTTTTGGGCTGACTGACTCCCTGAACTTTGACCCAGTTGGGCCAATTTTGTTCGGTTCTAATAGCTTCAAGGGGAAGAGGAAATGGGGCATAAAGTGGTTTGTCATTGGTGTCGATAACAAAGGCGGGTGAAAATTGTTTTGCGGTGCGTGCTGGCTTTCGGAAAACATTTAAGGTTCGAACAGTATAGAATAGTTAATTGAAAGCCCTTAGCAAAGGATTTTTGGGTTTCAGGCCTAACAAATTATTTTTTATTAAATGTTTTTGTAATCGCAAAGTCTATTTACACTCACCCTCCATCGAGAACAAAGCTTAAAGTAATAAACTAAGATACTATTGGAAAACAATTAAAATTTTGTCACAAATCGGCTGTACAGCAAACTCAATTTGGTAGACTGAAACGTCGTCGACAACTGATCGGAGTAGAGAATCAAGTGCTTTTCCTGACGTATTTGTGCTGGCAATAGTTTCAAAATATTTCCGAAATACCTGACCAAACATTGAGATAAATGCAGGAGGAATGTTTCAAACAGGAAAAGTTCAAGGAAGCTCATATCCATAGGATATGCACACGCAAGGTCTGAAAGTCAGACAATTTCCAACAATTTTCCGAGCGGTTTCGCCGGCGGCTTCCTGGGCTGGCTGAAGCGACAGAATGACTGAGTGCCATTAATGCCAGTTAACCCCGACGTTGTCATCAGCGTCAGCTGCAGCCACCAGTTGGCTTGGCTTGGGGTTTTTTGGCCAGGACCTTTTGGTCCTCAGCCACATTTCCAATTTCCCACTTTTCCACCTGCCGGATGGCACACACGCACATGAATGCTAATGCAGCAGCGGCAGCACGCACAAATGCACAACCGCATTGCAACCGCAGGAGAATCCCAGGCAGACATCCAACCGGATGGAGACAGTGGTTGAATTTATGTCTTCGAAAGATGAAAGTTATTTTTATACCACTGACAAGTGGGTACTTGAAATACGGATCAGTTAATTACAGGACATTTACATTTCCCCTGCTCAATTTTTCTCTTAATTTTTTTTCAATTCTTTTGAAACTTTTTGCGAATTTAAGAATTTAAAGAGTGTGCAAAATTTCTTTGTTGTTGTTGTGTTTGTTTGTTTTTAAACTACTTTAACTACAATTTACCTATACTCCATGTCGACCTTGAAATAAAAATTTGAAATTGATATTCAGTAATATATCTGTGCCGACTACTATGATATTTTTCTCAAAAAAGCAGTATTTTTCATTCGCGTTTGGGGGGGTCAAACATCATTTTAGACCATATCTATGTTCGCCAATATGGCTTAGAATCCTTTAAAGATTACGTTCCCCCTTTATGATTTTTGGGTTCCCAAATCGACCCACCCTAATGTAGGTATAGTATTCTCCTTGATTCGTCACTACGTGTAATCCAGTCAATAGTGATGATTACAAATTATGATATTTAATAAACGTAGAGTCGGTAAAAACTATTTTCACCCGTTATTTGGCCACGGTGCCCTTTTCCGACGAGAGCCGCTTAATTCGTGCAAATAAAATGATTGTGCAACATATGTTTGGGTAGTGGGTCTATTATAATACCACGTGGGGGCTGGCAGGTGGCACGGAGCGCTGGGTGCATCTCAAGTGCCCCTGCACTTCCGGCCGGCGTCCTGGAGCACGCCACATTGTTGCCGCAAACTTGCAACGCAATTACACTGAAATGGCGCATTATTTAAGTGTTTTGGCTGCTCTCGAAAATCGTGGGCGATGTGCGAAATGTTAATGAGAGGGGGCCACTAGCAGTTCAGCATCGACTGCTCCGATGGGGGAGGTTAATTATGACAACAATTAGACTGCTGTGTAGTACTCGGGACCTGGAACTGCCAAATGAAGTTGAATGCATTTAACTGGGCTAGTTGTTGCTCTCGGCAAACAAACAAACGCACTGCTGCCGGAGGCGTGGCCCTTTCATTTTGGCTAGCCAAGTGCCATGTCCTACACAGGCAATTACAGCAACAATGGCTGCTGGCAGGCCATCGAGTGAATTGCAAATAAAAATGCAGCTCAAGTTTTGCGGCATCGCTTCTCCTTTTGCATGGCACGCAGGGGGCTGAAAAGAAGAGCCCACAAACGTGCCATTCAAATACAAAGCTCAGAAACTTTTAAGACCGAATTCATGCACAGCGGGAGAAAATATCATAAATTTTTCCATCTTTATTATTACAATTAGATATATCTGTAAAATAGATATTTTAAATAAAATGGAATCTAAAAGTCATTTTATCTTTGAAAAATACTCAAATAAATAGATAAAATAAAGCACAAATCATGATGGATGGTCATCAATTTTTCCATCTGTAATATTTAAAGAAAATAAATCTGAAAAAAATAATGTTAGTATAACAAAACTTCGTCTAAAATTAAAATTTTGTTTAGAAAACACACAAATACATATAAGAAATCTTTGAGACACAAATTTACAATAATATCCAGAGAACTATTTTTCTTTGTGTACCTTTAGCAGGCGGCCGGAAGTGACAGCATCCTGGTGCTGTTCCAGCTCCTGTCTTCTGCCTAAAACGAAAATTTGACTCACAATAAAAACAGGACCTGGCAGGACCAACAATGGCAGCGCCAAAAACAAAACAGTTTAAGTCCACTGCGGAGCGGAAGTGCCGCTTATTACGCAGGATGTGGTTAACCGGAAATGAAACGAAACAAGCCAAGTGCGACAAGCCTTTCGGCTTTTTGTTTATAGCCCGTATGCGTGACTCTCCCACTCTCTGTGAAGTGCATCTAAAACTAATTAGGTTCAAAGCTCGTACCTCTAACATTCTAGGTATACATTTCTTTGAGCCACTGAAATTGGTGCTCAGGCGGCCATCTTTTGTTGGCTATTGCAATCAGCAAAATGTCAGGCCAATAACCAACGGCCAGCTCACAAACAGCCAACAAACAGCAGCGCCGATTGCCAGGATGACGGCGAAATCAAATTACAAGATGCTCTGACATTTTCCGCCACCCACCCACCAGCACAACACTCCACACCACCCAACCACCGCCAACACGCCCCCAATCCGACATCAGCCCCCCTCATTATCCGCCCCGCTGACCTAAATTCAATGCGTTTGCAATTTGTGCGGCAATGCGGCGGGGTTAATCATGCTAATAAACACCAACGTTGCACTTGCAGTTGTCGCTGCTGTTGTTGCTCGTTGCTCCTGTTTCCATTTCACAACGACTAAGGATGTTATGGTCGAATGCCTGATCCAGAAATACCCAGTATTCCGGTTAGTACCCTTATAGGTAGAGCACTCGTGGCGAGAAACAAAATATTTGGCAAGGTAATTTAAATTATTTCTTAGTTATTTTTATGTTATTATGTTATGTTGGAGGAGGATCTAAAGTATTTATTAAATGCGGCACTTCAAAATAATAATACATTTTTCGAAACCTTAAAAACCCTGAATAGAAAGCTTATTCCTGCGGAGAACATAAATTTCTGTAGGCTCAGCATCTTCATTTACATTAATGTTATACGCCCGCGCATATTCCAAGTACCAGGTACAAAAACCATTGCATACTTACAGGCGGCGGAGTAAGGATTTTGGACCTGGAAAAAGCCAGTGTCGATACAGGACCGTTGCTTTTTGCGGTCGCTGCGTGGCATTTGCCATTCAAGTGGGGCGATTGTGTTGCGGGGGCGATGCGGTCGAAAAGGGGGATGAAGAAGGGGCATGGCTGGAAATCATACAAAATTGCAATGATTATGCACGCGCCTAGTTGGCAGTCAATTGCGGTCAGGTCCTCATTTGGATGTGGCCCAAAGTGGCCCATTATTGGTGCTAGATGGTAATCCGAATGCGTTGGAACAGCTGCTGCCTGCCAAGAGAATTTTTTAATTTAATGCATGCTAGGTTTTTAATTCAATTTGAAAACAATCCATTAGAAAATGTTTGACACTAGCGAGGTGGAACTGGCCCTATTTCAGCTTTAAATGCCCAATGGAAATGATCGAAATATAATTATAATCATAAAAAATGTTTCGTCTCTGAAGAGTAATTTTTTTTACAGCTAAATGTAAAACCAGCCGCCGACGATCAACTATGCCCTTTGGGAGGACTGGTATCGGTACTGTTATTTTGCTGGAGATTTCAAAATACAAGGGCCTTAAGAAAAGTTTTGCTATTTAAGCATTGAAAAGGCGTACGTAGGGGTCAGTCTAGTTGGTCTCTTAGCTGAGCAGGATATACATAGCTTTTAAATGGAGTTTGATTGGCGAGTTTTCGGTACAGTTGCTCTAATTATAATTATGCTATCAAATTATTAATCTCGTGAAGTTTACCTAAATTATTAGTTTCTTTTAGGGCTAGAGCTATCATTGACATGCTCTTTCCTGACCATTGTCGTTTGTCTTCGCGTAAAAAAACTCCGCAATACACTGGGCAAATGCATAATCAGCAGCCTATTTAGCATGGTCATGGGCAAACTAATTTTGATACTAAGGATTTTTGGATTTTTGGGGTGGAACTCAGACTTAGTAAGTAAGTTAATACATTTTTGGTCAACATTCAAATTTTTTAAAATTATTTTTTTGCAGCCCTCTGCTTTAAGTCTTTTGTGCTCGCTTACATTATCTGGCTCTCTGTCATTAGTTTCCACAAGTGGAAAACCTTTAAACCGCTCAATAGCAATGAATATCGCTATAAATTTCTAGTCTACAGTGGCTTTGTCTGGACCACTGTGGCTATGACGACAGGATTATCTTATTTATTGCAAAAACTGTCATTATGGAATAAATTGGGTAAGATTACTGATTGTTCCGGAAGAGCTAGAGAAGAACTTCCATAACTGGTTCAAAAAGTTGGAAGATGGAAGAATACACATTTCTCAAAAGACTCTTGCCAGCTTTAGTCGTTATTTTAGGTTGGGTTATCCTAAGCATTTTTAATTTCATCATGTTTATCCTGACTGCCATTCTAATTTGAAAGTCAAGAAAGAACTTAAGACGTTTGAGCAACGAGAAAATAACACAACGACCTGCTTCAATTTCGATACTCAAACGTAAGGCCAAGTTATTTTAATTCGGTAACAAAGAATAATTTTCGGTTCGGATTCCAAACGTAGCTATTTAATTTTTCTGCGAATGTCCATCATGATGGGCGTGTACTGGATCCTTTTATCAATTATGCTGGTTCTTGAATTTTTTGATGATGATATCGGCAAATTTTTTCTTTTCTTCTACGATTCTCACCTCTTTTTCGGCATTTTTGTTTTTATTCTGCTTATCTGTAAACGTAGCACCATAAAACTGCTTCTAGATAGGTAAGTTAAATGTGAATGAATCAGATATCAAAGTATCCTTATAACTGTCTTTCCAGCTTTAAGGAAAGATGCCTTCGATTAAGAGATCAAGTTT